AGAGCACGAGGTCTGAGTGGTGGGGTGGGGGCAGGTAAGTCAGTCATCCAGCAAGTAAATGGTGGCGCCTAGACGCCTGGACGAGAAGTCAGGCCGTTTGCATCCTGACCTGAAGGTTTTTTTCACCCTACCTCCCTTCATGCCCCTCACCATATGGGGAGATGTTAAAAGGCAGCAAGTGTGACCTCATGGGGACAACAGTGATCAAGCAGTAGAGTTCTCCCCTTCCGTACTGGAGACCCAAGTTTAATTCCCAGCCAATGCACCTCTTGCACAGACGGTCACCACCCATCTGTCAGTGACTGCTGTGTTGCTATGATGCCCAAACAGGTTTCAACAGAGCTTCCAGACTAAGATGGACTAGGAAGAAAGGCCAGGCAATCTACTTCCAAAAATCAGCCAATGAAAATCCTATAGATCACAACAGTCTAATCCACAACCAATCATGGGGATGGTGCAGGACCAGGCACTGTTTTGTTCCACTGGGCGTGGGGTCACTATGACTTAGGGCTCAACTCGACAGCAGCTAACAACAACATGTGTGACCACAATGCTTATTTCCTCCTGGGGCTATGCCTAAGAGGCCGTTACTGGACTCTGGAAGAGCAGAGGTTGATTTCCAGCTCCTCTGTGTTTACCTCTGGGATCATGGACGAGTCAGCCACTTTCTTTGTCTCTAATACGGGTACTACCTGAGTCATAGCTAACATTTATTGAGCACTGACATGTGCTGGCACTGGCACCCTTCTAAGCATTCCAAACCATTTAATCTTCCAACAAGCATATAAGACAGAGACGTGTCACAGACAGAGCCTGTCTCCTTATTCTATTTAGTACTGTCTCTTAACATGGTTATGAGAATTAAGTGAGATATTAAACGAGGTAAGGACATTCCAGATGGCATTCTACAAAGGCGGAGAATTAAAAGTGGGACTTGGATTTAGCTTTGGGGTCTACGTAAAAAGTTTCCTTATAGGAATAATTGAGTTTTATATTACAGTCCTTAATTTCATTTAATGATGTTTCCCCCTGTAGAAATAGAAGTCTTTCAAAACTGAAGTGTACAATTGCTTCATCTAAACAAAATACACAATTTTGGAATAATATTTTTTAAAACTTAGGCACCTCTGCATGGACCTTCAAGTTTTCTCAGTTGCTGGTTTTCTATCCAGAATTAGGCTAGAAGACAATCTTCTTCAAACAAATCCTGTTCTTATCATCAGAAACTTCCTGGGGTCATATGCTCATTGCCCCCTTCCTTTTTCAGTACCTTCACCCCCTGCCCTTGTCATGGAGCCCAGACTGGTCCCTCCTGGCAGTAGGGACATGTCTCCATAGCATCCAAGTATTGGAGGCAGAATGTCTCCCATTGGGGTGGAAGAATGGGATCTTGATTTTTAAAGGAGGAAGAGGGACCAGAGAACTCAGGAGACCACCTGACTCTGCACTCTCTGCAAGAAGTCCCCAATCACCCTTTATCTTTGTGACCCCCCTTAGTGCCCTCCACCAGTTCACATAACCTGGATTCTCTCTCCCTGGCCCCCCGTGGAAAAGAATACAGCCTTATAGATTCTTCCCTCTTCATCTCTGGAGAAAATAAGCATAGAGCCTCTCAGAGGTCTTCTCGGGATTTTTATTGCTAAACACACAATGAGAAAAGGTGGAGGGGACAAGGGTGGAAAAGTTTGAAGATACATGAAATCTTACAAGTCTCAGAACAAGCATTCTCCCTAAGTACAAAAGGGACTTTGCTGGTCTCTCCTGCTTGGCTTCTCATCGAACTCACTGCTTTCCTCTTATCTTGGGACAAGCCAGGCCTAAACTACCTCTCACTGTATTTCTGCACCTATTGAGAACTCTCTCCTGCGTTCTACACGTCCAGTAGAGGGTGATAAAGGTACTCATTGATGGAAAGAGTGTGTCTTGAATGATGACTCATGACAGCTAAGGGGCAGCACTTGTCTCTGCCTGCACCTGTCTCACTGCTGTTGGGGTTTTGTTTTTTTCTTCCTGTTGTTCTCCCCCTCTTTGTCTGCCAGCCTCATTCTCAATTCCTACTTTGCATATCAGATCATATTAGAACTTGATTTTTGTTAAGTGATACATCAAATCAACAGAGAGGGAAGAGATTAATTAGAGATGTTTATAAAGCTAGTCTGAAAGTAGGGGAAACTCATTTAAGAACTGTAGATCACAGATTACACACATACACACACAAAATCAGAAATTAAAGAGAGAATTTTAAAATATATCAAACCACAGAAAAATAGAAGAGTATTTACCAAGCCGTAGTATGGATAAAGACTGTTTAACACTTAGAAGCAAAGAAAAAATACCAACAGAGTTGACTATATACAAACTAAAACTTCTGTATACCTAAAAATTAGGATAAACAAAAGGATAAACTGCAGGCTAGAGAAAATGGTCACAGCATATATGACCAAATGCTGATATAAAGAGCTTAGACAAATTGATTTAACAAAAAACAAGGTTCCTAATTACGAAAAGTGACAGAGCACTAACAGAGAAAGCACTAATGAGGAAATTATATTAGCAAACTTGGCCTTTAATAAATGTCCAACTCACTAATTATCAAACAGTGCAAACTATAGCAATGAGGGTCTATTACTTTTGCTCACAAAGCTAGCAAAAAAAATTTTTTAATGATAATATACAAAGCTGGTGAAGATAGTTAAGATAGGTCCTCTTACACAGGGCACTGATATACTACTCGGCAACAGTGTAACATTGCAGTTTGGCAGGATGTATCAAGAGCCTTAAAAATGCCCACATCTTTTGGCCCAGTAACTTTTCTCCCAGGAATATGTTATAAAGAAATAATCACCAAGTTTGGGAAAAGCTATAGACCCAAGGATGTTTGTCACAGATTTTAAATGCTATTTTAAAATGGAAATAAATTAAAAGTCCAACAAAATGGAAATGGTCAAGTATATTTTGAATGTGTCCACTTGACGGACTATCAGACATTTAAAATGGTGGTTATAAAAACTAGAAAATGACAAGGCAGAAATAGGGAAATAAATTTTTTATGGAAAGTATAATTTCCACTATGTTTGAAAATAAACAGGAAAATTCTTAGAATTGGGGATGTTTTCCCCTGTAGTTCCCAAAGTGCTTATATTACTATTTATAATGAATATATACACACAGACTCATATATATGTGTATATATACATAATGAAGATGAAAGATGAGTTGGTGGTGTCACGTGGAGAGGGCAGTATAGAACCCCAGGTAGCAGGACATAGGAGTGGGATTGTAGGCAGGGATCATGCACGTCTTTGGGGGTAAGACTGCCAGTCACGGTCTTCCCTGCATCCCTCACAGAAGAAGCAGTACCCAGAAGTTAAACACAGTTCTGAAGACTTGATGTAATCTAGATGAGACAAGCAAATTGATGAAAAATAGTGACTCTTCAGAGTAAAAAGAACCAACTCCACAGAGAGTCTTGGTGACACCTCCTATCCAGAATGCTGTGATCCATTTCCCTCTCTGCAGTGCTTTCGCCCACCTCACTGCTGAGAGAGGGATGGGGAGACTAAGACCCAGGCCATCAGATATGGTGGCCTAAGGTCACCCAACCACGCAGAGGCAGATCTGGGCAGGAGCAGAGTCCCCATGACCTGTAAAGGGCCCTCTTCTGGGACGAGGATATGGAGGGAAGTTCCTGAGACAGGGAGTCTGAGCCATCTGTGCTACTTGAGCTCTTTGCTTGGCTCCCAGAATACATGCTTCAAATACACTCCACCTTCCCTCCTTCCATCACTCTTCCTTTCTCCTTTTTTGTTCCTTTCTCTTTCTGGCCCTCTCTTGCTTTTCCTTTTTTTCATTATACAAATATTTAGTCCCTATTATGTGCTAGTGGAGTTCCTGGGTGGTGCAAACAGTTAACACACTCAGCTGCTAACTAAAAGGTTGGAGGTTCAAGTCCATCCACAGGCACCTCGGAAGAAAGGCCTGGCGATCCACTTCCAAAAAATCAGCCATCAAAAACCCGATGGAGCACAGTTCTACTCTGACACACATGGGGTCGCCATGAGCCAGAATCAACGTGATGGCGATTGGTACTGGTGATGTGCTGGTAGCGTGTTAGGCATTGCCTTGAGGTGCTCCTTAGTTTAGCAACAGAGAAGGGCAAGCAAATTGGGAATTCCAGTAAAGTGCAAGAAGTGCTGTAACTGAGATAAGCGAGGGCACTTGGGAAATACAGAATAGGAACAACCAACTCAGATGGGGGTGGGAGGATAGAGAGCTTCCTGAAAGAGGTGACATCCAAACAGTGTCCCAAAGGCTGAGTAGGGAAAAGGCAGGGAAGGGGGTGCACCTAAGGGTGGTCCAAGCAAAGGGTCAGTGGATATTCTTATGGGGCAGTGTGCCTCTGGTTGTCTGTTTAACTCAATGTGTGTGTGCGTGTGTGTGTGTGTGTGACATGCTGCCAAATGATCAAACACGTGACCCAGGAGGGGGAGAGGAAGAAAGAGAATAGGAGGGAAAGAAGGAAGAACAGAGTCAGAGAATGAGAGAAAGTGAGGGAGGAAAGAAAGAGGGGAGTCATGGAGAGAGGTTGTTTAGAGTTGAATGGAGCAATCTGGGTCTTAGTCCTGGAAAACTCAAAGGATGGATTCTTGGCAACTTGACTGTTGGCACTTCACCCACACCTGGTCCTGTGCTCAAATACAACGTGGGGAAATTGGAGGAGTATCATCCCTCCCCTTCCTGAACTCACAGTTCTGCTGAGGAGAGGAGATTATGCACAGGGAATAATTCTAAATATTGCAAACGTCAGCGCAGAAAGATATCAAGGTGGGCTAAAATCAGTCTTCCTGGAAGAGGTGAGTCTTGAGAGAGCAGTTCTTAGACAAGGACTCTGCTAAATGGATGGAGTCCTGCTTAGGTCTTGCCTGGGTGTGCTGTGTGGGCTCTGCCTTTCATCTACCTCTCCATGGCTGACCCTGCAGGTGTGAACTCCAGTGCTCAGGATGCTGTTGCTGCGAGCTGTTCTACTGCTACTAGCCCTGCCCAATAGTGGCCAGGATATCACGAACAAAGAGCCTGGGGTCCTGCTTTCCCCACCCAAGGAGGGCTGTGCAGGTTGGATGGCAGGCATCCCAGGGCATCCTGGCCACAACGGGACTCCAGGCCGTGATGGCAGAGATGGCACCCCTGGAGAGAAAGGCGAGAAAGGAGACCCAGGTGAGGACAAGGTCTTCGGCCTCCTCCATCACAGACCAGTCTCCTGGGTAGAGGAGGGCTTCCAGAGATGTATGTGGACGTTATTTTCTTTCCTAGACTCCCGAAAGAAGCAGTTTTTTTTTATATGATCCATAAACAACCTAAAGTGGGTTCTGGGTTCTTCCAGCGGACAGACTGGGTAGCACCTCTATAACCAAGTACCCTTTGGCTCTGCTGTATCCCCATCTCCTTGCCCAACCCGTTTCCTATCCCCACTCATATCCCTATTCCCCATCTGTTCATATTACTATTCCCCTTCCTTTCCACTTAATTCTTATTTCATTCAACGGAATTGAACTGCACTTACTGTGTACCTCCTGCAGGACACAATCCTGCTCTTGGAGAACTCTGGGTCTAGTTAAGAGATAAATCTAATACACAGGACTGTCAGAGGTTGCTATAAGAACACTCCAAATATGTCAAACTGAATGTAAACAAATGCCCAAAGTATGGAACTGAGAGAAAGCACACTTAATGCTGACCTGCGTTAATAATGAAGGCTTCAAGGAAGAAGCAGGCTCTGAGCTAGGCAGAGTAAAAGAGAGAGCATGTTCCAGACAGAGGGGATAGATAGAAGAGCAAAAATAAGGTTGCTTGAGCCAACACATAAAGGGCTGGTGGGGTGGAGGGTCCATTATGGAGTCATATAGAAAATAAGGTTAGAAATGAACTCACGGGAGCCTGCTGGGCTATTCTGTGGCAGTTGTGGAAGGAGGAGGTGCCATCCCTTCCGTTTTGGGAGCATCCGTTGGTCCCTTGCTCTGTAATCCAAGCATATGGCAGGTGGAGGTCACAGAGACAGTGCTTTAGACTGGAGCCAGCCTAGGCTGGAGTTCTGTTCCTTGTGGTCACTGAGGTCTTCTCATCTCTAGGTCTTATTGGTCCTAAGGGTGACACTGGTGAGACCGGAGTGACTGGGGTTGAAGGTCCCCGAGGCTTTCCAGGAATCCCAGGCAGAAAAGGAGAACCTGGAGAAAGTGCCTATGTATACCGCTCAGCATTCAGCGTGGGATTGGAAACCAGGGTCACGGTCCCCAATGTTCCCATTCGCTTTACCAAGATCTTCTACAATGAGCAAAGCCACTATGATAGCTCCACTGGAAAATTCTCCTGCAACATCCCTGGGCTGTATTACTTCTCATACCACATCACAGTCTATATGAAGGATGTGAAGGTCAGCCTCTTCAAGAAGGACAAGGCTGTGCTCTTCACCCATGACCAGTACCAGGAGAAGAACGTGGATCAGGCCTCTGGCTCCGTGCTCCTGCATCTGGAGATGGGCGACCAAGTCTGGCTCCAGGTGTATGGGGATGGAGAGAAAAATGGGCTCTATGCAGATAATGTCAACGACTGCACCTTCACAGGCTTCCTTCTCTACCATGACATCCAGTGATCACCATTACCTCAGAGCCTCCACCAGGCCAAACAATTCAAAAGTCGGTTAGAGGACAGCTAGCAGGTTTTCAGCGTAGGTAGGAGATTGATTTTATTATCTAGTTGGAGGGCTCTGAACATTATTCATTCATTTATTCACTCATTCATCAAGAACCTTTTTTTTTTCTTTTTTTTTTTTAAATCATATACTATGTTTTCAGTCCTGAAGAAGACATGATCTTTGGTCTCAAGATCTTATTATGTAGTAGCAATGAAAGGATAATAATATTTACTAGGGAGCTTCCCATACATGACAAGATAGTAACTGACCAAAGGAAGTGTTTGACAGCATTGTTTGATGCTCGTTGTCTCTCCTGATGTTCATGCCAAGCCTATAAAGTAGGCAGGGCAGATATTATTCTTTTCCTTTTGCAGTTGTAGTTCTGAGGCCGAGAGTGTTAAGTGAATGTCTAAGGTCATACCTGTATTATGAGACAGGGCTGGAGATCAAACCCAAGGCCTTGGACATTTTCTACTAGACTCTGCCCTTTTTTAAGAGTACAGGGACTCCTTGGAGTTGGTAAGGGTCTCTTGCCCAGCTCACCCGAGGGCCTCTGAATTTGCTTTCATCAGGGGTTAAGCCTTCTCCATAGCAGAGCTTCTTCAGAGAAGATGTTTCTAGGAAGTCTCATCTCAGCTAGAATTCTCAGTGTTCCCTGCGCTGCTCTGTACTTTCTCTTCTCTGTGTCTTTCCTCATGCTCTTCCCTCTGGCCTGGAAATCTATCTCCATCTCCGTATGCTGATATCCTTCCTGTCCCTCAAGGCTGCCTGGTCAGGAAGTTTCTCTGATGTGTTATCTCTTTCCTCCAAACCTTCCTTTGCACAGTGCCTTTTGTGCCACTCCACATTCTACCCTGAATGAGAGTCTTGGGTATATGAGTCCTTTCTCCCACCATGCTGTGAACAACTGTTGGGTAAGGACAGTGGTTCTTTCACCTATGAATCCTCTTGCAAGACCGTGATAAATGCTTGGTGAAGAGAAATCTCTTGAATCCTATATCTACCCAGAATTAACTCCATTTCAGTCTTTCTGTATAACCAACCCTTATCCACAGAAACATTTTCATTTTAGGAACTCATGGTTTTAGACACACAATCTTTGATTCCACTGGACAGCTTAAATCTTTTCTACTGAGGTTATGGATGACTGTGCTTTCCAGAATTCTTAAAAGATTTTCCATCGATGAGGTAACATGAGCCTGAAACGCAAACCCAAGAAGAAATTTGGAAATCATTCTATCCCTGAGTGCCAACAGGGTCTGGGAAGATCTGGGCTCCCTGAATTTATTCTTTAAGAATTACAGGTGGTTGATAGTGTTAAATATTCTCTCAGGAGGCAGTTGCATGCATGATGCTCTTCGGTTTTAGCAAAAGTGGAGTTTAATAGCATTCTGTATAAATATAGAAATGGAAAATCTATTATTTGTTTACAGCGTTAAATTCTGAGTGATCCCCTTTTCTATGTGAATTGCTACTCATTAAGTGATTCTTAATTCTACATATAAAGCTTTGCCTTTTGAAATGCTTGTATGTCATCATTTTCTACAAATAAAGATACTACGTAACATTGAAAGTAAAGCATTTACTTCATGTGGCTTTTGTTTCCATTTTTAAAAATAATTTATTTTATTCTGTTGTTGTTGAGATTATACACAGCAGAATATACACCAATTCAACAATTTCTACATGTACAATTCAGTGACATTGATTACATTCTTCAAGTTGTGCAACCATTCTCACTTCCTTTTCCGAATTGTTCCTCCCCCATTAACATAAACTTACTGCCCACTAAGTTTCCTATCTAATCTTTTGAGTTGCTGTTGTCAGTTTGATCCCATATAGTTCTTAAAAGAACACAATGCGCAAGGCAGAAATTCTTTACTAATTAAGCTAGACTATTGTTTGGTTTAAAGAAGACCTCAGAAGATATTGTTGATTTAAGGTTTAAAGATTATCACCGGGCAATAGTTTCAGGAGTTCATCTAGCCTCAAGGCCTCCAGAAAGTCTGGATTCCATGGGAATTTGAAAATGTCTTCTGCATTTCCCCCTTTTGATCAAGATTCTTCTATAGAATCTTTGATCAGAATGTTCAGCAATGGCAGCTAGGCACCATTCAGTTCTGGTCTCATGCAGAAAGGCAGTTGTTCATGGAGGCAAGTAGCCATGCATTCCATTTCCTCCTCCTATTTCTGAATCTCCTTCTTCCTCTGCTTCTCTGGGCAAATAGTGATCAATTGTTATACATTGGATGGTTACTTGCAATCTTTTAAGACCCCAGGCACAGCACAAGGAACTAGGAGACAGAACATAAACACTAAACATGATACTAGGCCAATTAACTGGGATGTCCCATGAAACCATGACCCTAAACCTCCAAAGAAGGAACCAAATCCCCTGAGGTGTTGGTTGTACATAAGCAGTCTCAGTAGCTGCTGTTTTTATTGTTGTTGTAAATATATCACACAATATATGCCAATTTAACTTTTAACATGTGTACAACTTATTGACATCAATTACATTAATTGGTTGTGCGACTCTTACCCTTGATCCCCGTAAATCAAAACTCATTGTTCCATGAGCAATGTTTCCATTTTGGAAGAAGAAAGACATGGGGTTTAGAAAGGAATGAAAAGGTAAGAAGAGTACATCTTGTATTACAAAAAACAGAAAACCCAACTCTAACTTAAGCAAAAAAAATTTTTTAAAAAAGGAAAAATTTATCATTTGTATAACAGAAAATACCAGAATTGTTCTGTCTTTATGTAAGGCTGAAACCAGAAGCTCAAAAAATATTATCAGTGACCCCTTTCTGTTTGTTCTTCCACCCTGCCTTCCACAATGTAGGCTTCACCCTCAGGCTTATCCAGTATAGCTCCAGGCTCTCCCTCATGATATCAAAAAGACTGCAGCCTGCCTAGCTCTCATACCCTCACACCATATCAGCCAGCAAAAGAGACATCCTCTTTTCTGGTGGTTCCCACAGAGGAGAGAGGAAACTTTCTTTTCCAGAAGCCCCAGCAAATTTACCCTTGCATCTCATTGGCTCTGACTGGGTTGTATGTCCATGTCTGAACAATCACTGGAGTCAAGGTGGGTGGACTACACTTACTGACTTAAGTTAGTCATGGCTCAAAGTAGGGAAGGAGTATTTCCCTTAAAGGAAAATCTGGACATCCTTACCAGACGTGGGAGAATGAATGATGGGTGCAAAAACAACTGTTCACAGCAGACTCTTAATGCTACATTCAAGCTTTCTCAAGTTTCTCAGAGAGAGATTGCTAGAAAATTACTATTTATTTCCTCTAAAATTTCAACATGGGGGCCTGGTGGTGCAACAGTTAAGCACTTGGCTGCTAACCAAAAAGTTGGCCATTCAAACCCACCCAGTGGTTCCTTGAGAGAAAGACCTGGTGATCTGCTTCTGTAAAGACTGCATCCTAGAAAACCCTATGGGGTAGTTCTGTTCTGTCACATGAGATCACTATGAGTCAGAATCTACTTGAGGGCACCTAACAACAACAACAGAATTTCAACAAGTAGCAAGTGTCTGGCTATGCTCACAGTGTCACATTTGGCTAGAACGGGACACTCAAATAGCACTGGACATGGTGTCACACTCACTCTAAACTCTCTGGGGCAGGGTCATTTCCTTGTGGAGCCAGAGGCACAAAGAATGCCAGTCGACATAGCACCTCCTAAGAGAAATTGTGGTTAAGATTTTAGGAGTAATTGTTCCATAACATCTTCAAGTATAATTGTGAATTTGTCTTCTTCTTCTTCCAGTTCTGTCAGTTTTTGCTTCATATATTTTGGAGCTTTGTTATATATAAACACATTTAGATTTAGATTTTCTTGGAATGTCCCTCTCTATCTCTGGTAATTTTTCTTGTTCTGAAGTTTACTTTGTCTGCTATAACTACAGCCATTCCAGCTTTCTTTTGCTTAGTGCTTGTGAGGCGTATCTTTTTTTATTATTTTACCTTAAATCTATCTACAGCATATTTATATTAAATTTTAAGTTTGTTTCTTATAGACTGCAAGTAGTGTGATCTTGTTTTTATCAACTCTGAAAACCTCTGTCTTTTACTTGGTGTATTTAGACAATTTACATTTACTATCATTGTTATTGAAGGAGCCCTGGTGGTGCAGTGGTTGAGCACTTGGCTGCTAACCAAAAGGTTGGTGGTTTGAACCGACCAGCTGCTCTGCATGAGAAAGCTGTGGCAGTCTGCTTCCACGAAGATTACAGCCTTGAAAACCCAATGGGGCAGTTCTACTCTGTCCTACAGGGTTACTATGGTCGGAATCAATGAGATGACATTGGGTTAATGGGCTATAGTTGTTACTGTGGTTTTACTTAAGGCTACAATTTTATTTGGTTTTTTGTTTCCCCCTTTATTCTCTGTCCTACCATCTTTTTGGATTATTTGACTATTTTGTAGACTTTAATTTTAATTTACGTATTGGCTTTTTGGCTGTAGCTCTTTGTTTTGTTTTTTAGAGTTGTTCCAGGGATTATTCTCTCTCTGTATATACCTGTGGCCCTAATGGCACAGTGGTTAAGAGTTCGGCTGCTAACCAAAAGGTCTGCAGTTTGAATCCACCAGCCATTCCTTGGAAACCCTATGGGGCAGTTCTACTCTGTCCTATAGGGTTATTATGAGTCAAAATTGATTCAATGTTACCTAACAA